CCCCGTCTCCATTATCCACAATGCAATGATTATTTTGTATTCAGCGCCTACTATGTGCCAGGCCTTTTACATACATGACTTTCCCACTGAGCCCTCACAACCGCCCAGAGAGCCTGCTCTTTGCAGATGTGGCTGGCTTGGTGGCAATTCAACCCCAGGCTGCGGGCCTAGTGGCCTTTCCCTGCCATGGCGCAATCTTGGAAGCGGCAACTGCGGGGAGGGTGAGGAGCGGTGCAGTTTCCGCCGCGCCCGCCCGCGGGGAAGGCAGCCGGGGGTACCCGAGGGCTCGAGCCGCGGGGGGAGCAACAGCTGTCGACGTCGCGCCCGGGGACCGCGCCTCCGCTGGGCCGACCCGGCGCCGGGGCCGAGAGGAGGGGCCGCGAGGGGCGGGGCGCGCGGGGCGGGACGGAGGAGGGGCGGTGGCACCGGCGGCTCGGGCTCGGCGCGCCGAGGAAGTCCCGCTCCGAGAGCTGCGAGCGTCTGGAGGAGGCGCGCTCGGCGCAGTCGGGGAGCGAAGTCCGGAGAAAGGGGCCCCCGTGCTGCCGCCGCCCCCTCCTGCTACCGTCCAGCTAGGGAGCCCGCGGCGCCCGCGGCGGCCGCCGATGGAGTTCACTTGAGCTGTGATCCGGCGGGAGAGGCAGGCGCCCGCGAGCCGAGCGCGGGCCGGAGCCCAGCCAGCCCCGGGCGCTCACCCGCCAGCCCGCAAGCTCCGGCCAGAGGCGCCGCCGCCCCGCTCTCCGCCGTTGCTGCGCCTCCCGGGCCGCGAGCCGGCGAGATCCGCATAAAATCCAGACTCCCGGAGCGGCTCCCTCCAGCACCGCGGCGGGCCCAGGACCAGGCAGCCCGCGGCGCGGCTGGAGAGGCGGGACCGGCTGTCGGGGAGCTCCGGGCGGCCGCCGGGGAGAAGCCGCCGCGCGCCCTCCTCCTCCTCCCTCTCCCTCCTCCCTCCCTCCGCACATGGTCTCCTTTGTCCTGTCGCCGCCGCCGCCGCCTCGCTCTTAGCTCCGCGCGCCGCGGCGGCGGCTCGGGCCGCTCCTGTCTGCCTCACCCTCCCGCCGGCCGGCCCGGGACGCGCCTCGCTAGCCCCCGCCGCGCCAGCCCGGCCCCGCGCGCCGCAGGAGCGGCCGCGAGACAGTGGCGAGCGCGGGCCGGGAGATCTCGGCGGGCACGCTCCTCCCGCCGCCCGGGGCCTCGGCCGCGCTGGATGTGTGCGCGCGGCGCCGGCTCTCCGCCGCGCCGAAGCTGTTGCCCGGTTCGGATCTGGTTCGGCGCCTCAGCTCTCGGACTTTGGCGAAGAAGGAGCCCAGAGACTTGTGGACGGAGCCCGGTCGGGAGTTGGGCGTTTTCTCTTCGTGTGTTTTGGTGGTTTCCCCCCTGCTCTTTGACGATCGCCCTTCGGGAGCCCTGCTAAGGAACCAAACCATGAACTTGGGGCTGACCGGACCGCTTAACCCTTTGCGACCAGGTAATGCAGCCCCCGGGGCGCGGCACACTCGCCTACCGCCCGCGGTCGGAAGGGAGGCGGCCGGGTCGGGGGTCTTTTGTTGCGGCGGCCGGGCCGGCGGGCAGGGGTGGCAGGGGCGGGCTTCTCGCGTCTGGCGCGCCCAAGCGCCCCTTCGCCACCCCTCCTCCCTCCTTTCCTCCCCTCTCTGTGGCCCTGTCGCCCGCCTTTGTACTTTCCTCCCTCGGCCAGCCGGGCTCGGCCGGAGCTGCGCGGTCGTGCCCGGGAGGGCCTGCCGTTCGCCGCCGAGCTCCGATGTGGGGAGGGGGCCGGGGCCTGCGTCCGCTTGAGCAGGGGGCCCTAGCGTGGCTCTGCCCGCTCCTGGGGTCGCGCTTCCCCCGCGCGGAGGTCGGGATCCCGGCCCCACGCGGTTCCAAGGGAAGCGAAAGAAGATCTGGGCTCGGGTTCGGCAGCAGGAGAAAGAACTCGCGCTTAAGTTTTCAGGAGGTTTCTGTTCTCTTGTTGGAAAGCCCCCCTTCCCGCCTGTAAGGGTGCGGAGGGCGGCCCCCGAGGTCTGCGTCCGAAGTGGGTGAGGGTGGACCTGGAGCCCGAACCGCTGGGTCCCACCCTGTCTGCACGCACGGCTTTTATAAGTTTTCCTCATTCTTCGCGTTCCCGCCTCCAATCTGTTTCGCTTACTTAACTTTCCTTTAAACGCCAACGACGGCTTCTAGCAATATTATTTTACATCCCAAAAAAAAAAAAAAAAAAAAAAGTATTCCCCCTCCTCTTAAATAAAAAGCAGCCAAAAGAGAGCTTTGGTTTTCTGTCAGTTTTAGATTCAACCACTTCATGCCCCTACCCTCCAAAACCGAGCGAGGGGGTGAAAGGAAGTGAGTAAAATCTTCAAGTCTGTAGTGGGTAGAGGTGCCCCCGTGTTAGACAGAAGGAAGAGCTCAATTCGTCGGTTCATTCTGGGCTCGCCGCTTTTTCATTTGAATAATAATTAAAAAAAAACAAAAGCCAGGAAAATGGTCCAGGTAATAGAAGGAAATGCAGACTATTTTCTGAAAGCAACGAAAATAATGAACATCCCCAAGATTAAGACCCAAGGAACCAAATCATTTGTACAAATGCCCTAAAACCCTAAGTAGAAGGAAAGTTCATTGAGGAAAAGGAAAGGATACTCGTGTCGTTTCCCCTGAAGATTTTGGCTAAGAAGCTCTCTTCTGACTTATTAGGACAGTGGTCGGCCATAGTTGTAACCACCTGGATAGGAGAGAGAAGGGATCCAGAATGTTTTCACGATCAACCAGAGCCCCATTGCAGTGGTCATCTTTTGGGTATTTTTCTGTGTAGGCCTTTCTGAGACACCCCGTTTCCCAGTTGCAAGAGGCATGGTGTCCAGCCTTGTGACTTGTATCAGCCAAGTAAGGGCTCAGAAAGCTTTTAGTCGAAGATACACTCCTAAGCCTCTCTGAATATCCGGTCAGACTTACTTCCTTAATAACTTACTGGTCGGCGTCATAATAATGACATCCTTAAGTTTGGTTCAGACATTAGGATCACTTAAGTGTCTCTTTGTGAATCCCATGTGGAGCTGACAAAGGTGGCAGAAGCAAAAGGCCTGTTCACCCACAGCTTCTGTCCTTTTCACTCGAACACACACACACACACACACACACACACACACACACCAAGTGCAAATAAAAACTTGCTCAGGAACCATTTCCTTTCCCTGTTCATGCTTTTTGCATTCAGAGACAGTAATTTGTTTTTATATTTCTTGGGGCCAATTAGACTCACTTTAATAGGTAATCCCAGAATTTTCAAAGGTTATGTCAGTTTGGTAAAACACTTTAATACACAGACTTTTTTTTCCCTTATATCAGTTCATTAATTTTGTGAGCCATGAATTTAACATGAATTTACATTCAAAAAGAATTCCAACCCGTTCTAAGAAACACTTTTTCATGAAAGGATGGTAAAATACAGGTATCTCGAGTTTTTAGCTGGGAAACTCACATTGCTAGAAATCTCACTGAATATTTCAATATAGCATCATGTAATTTTTGGCTTTATAACTCATTATTCTTGATCGAGGTATAACTTGTTTCTCCCCCATTAACTTTTTTTTTGACAGTTTGTTTTTATGTAAAGGTACTGTTACGTATAGTTTAAGATATCAGGAAGGCCCTCTGTATTTTTCATTATTCCTGCAAAATAGGAAAAAATCTATCTAGGGTTTATGGTAAACTGCATGTATAAATGTGTGCACTCAATGTTTGTTTTGCACATACATTCATTTGTGTCAGGATTTGTTAATCATATGAACACCCCCATAAAAGAAATGTTAGAATTAAAGCAAAAAACAGTCTTAATAAAAATATTTTATCTTTCTGTATCACTTGCATTGAGAACTAGAACATGTCCCCCAGATGTACACAGGAATATTTCATCTTTGTCAGTATTACATGGAAGGTCTAAATTGAATATCCTCTTTGTCCGTAAAAGCTAGCCCCACAGTCCAAATATGCTGTGCTTCAGAATTCCCACTCCCCCTATTTCCTATATTTCCTTTTCCATAGTTATTCAACATTCTAGGCTTTTGCTTTCTCAGAATATGCATCTCTGTTTATCAGGTGTGAAAGATGAGTGATTTCTCACGAGGGTTATGTAGCAAAATCCACAAATATAGCTTGGCCATTATAACTTTAAATGCAGATATATCCTCACGTTATGTAGTGGAGATGCTTAATTTTTAATTTTCAAGTTCTAGAAATGCTCAGTGCTTCTGAAACATTACAGCATTTTCCTTCAAAGCGACTTCCATGTTTATTTTCCAGAACATTAGTGTATGATTTAAATTGGCTTTAGTTTTACTGTTTAAACAGGCTTATTTCACCTTCCTCGAGCCACTGTAATAATTAGCAGACATGTTCTCTAGAAACTGGAAAGGAAATAATGCTGGTGGCACGCATAGTGGTCGGATTTTTGGGCAGGCCGGCTTGCGTCTTTTTGAACACCAAGGTCGTCTGGTTACTGGAAGGGACAGGGATCTTGGAGTCATCAGATGAATCTTTTAAAAAAAATTAATTTCTGGCAGTGTTGGCTCACACTTTTTAGTGAGGAAAAGCTTAGCGTTAAATAATAGGCATTTCTGATTTGTGAAAGAAAATTGAAAAATAGGCATGTCTGCAAATACCACGAAAAGCATACCATTTCCAAAATAATGATCTGTCAACGAAATTGCAAAATCATTATGTGAACGAGCTGAATTGCTTTGTGTACCATCTCATAGAAATATGTTTTGCACAGATAATGTGTCTAATAAGGACACATTTTTAAAATCTGATTTTTCCCCCCAGCAAGTAGCTGCACTGCAGGTCTCTCTCAGGCAGTCAACTAGCACCACCTTATGGATGATTTGAGGACATTGCTGCTTCCCTGCTAGGCTTTCGTAAAATGTAGTAAATTGATTTAAAATAATGGGAATGTTGATGGTGATGACAATGTTAATGACAATAATAATGCGTTTTTTCCCCTTCTTGTTTTTCAGGCATCGGATGCCAGCTCTGAAAAACTCTTCAACACTGTTATTGTAAACAAAGGTAAGACCCATTCATTCTCCTGAGTAATGGCTTATTTTTATGTTAGTTTCATTGTCATTGCCTAGGAAGAAAGAAGAGCCAGAGTGATCTTTCTCTTTTAATTCTGAAGCTACTGTTGATGTTTTGTGTTTTTGCTTGAGATGGAAGTCTGCATACTTTGTGATGCATTAACAACCAGTTTATTTTAAAAGAATACATTGAGTCCCTATTTAAATAGATTTGACTAATCACTACTACTATGTGACTTTAATATAGAAAACTGTACTAGAGAAGAATAGTTCTCAAAATGCCTGAACTTTATGTTACTTATCAACTACCCAGCAGTAGGAGAAATATAAATAGCTGATGTGTGATGCAGACTCTAGTAATCAGTGGATGTTTAGAATTCACAGTATTATGGTCATAAACCAAGCCTTACTCTGCTGTGGGCTTTCTGTAAAGTTAATAAACGAGCAAGAGGGCAGAATTTAAATACGCACTATCCCATTAATTTCTTCCAAACCACAATCTAGAGTAAGAGAGGCTAATGATATAGCAGTACATTAAGGGAAAACTAACCTTAAATCATTGCCAATAGGTTTCTGCGCAGTTTTCATTTGTTAGCAGTATTGTTGGAAATAATGAAATTTAGGGAAGTCTCTAATCACTGGCTCTGAAAGGTGTATAATTTGAAAGGTACAAACCATACAAACTATTTAATCTTCCCCTTTCCACTCTCGAGCCTGATTTAGGGGCTGGCATGATAATTGCTCAGTAAAGATGTGCTTTCTGTGCTCATCTCTTTCTGTGTTACATAGACGACACTTGGTAACACTTGAACAGACTTGGGCCTTCACAAAGTGAAATTTGAGACCATTTCAGCCTTCTGTAGTTGCCTTGGCTAGCATTTTTGCTAGCTGGTTAGTAAGACATTTCCAAGTGCAGTTATTTTGAGCTCCCAGATTATTTTAGAATTTGAACCAATTGCAATTTTAAATAGTACATTATGTTTAGAGTTCCCTTGAGGTGTATGTGATTGCTGTTACTCCCAGAATTACTGTCATATTGAATTTTATCTTTTTTTATTGCCTAATGGAGTATTCCAGTTTTATATTTCATCATATTTTTTGATGGACTGAAAGTTTGTATAAATGTGTTATCCATAATGCTAAAAGCCCAATAAAAGAAGATGTGCCATTCATAGCATACAGTGCTCGTGGGTAAAAATGCACTATTGTCTACCACTTGGTGTTTCCTTGTGAGAAAGGAGGGTGATGGGAGAGGGAGATTGGGGTAGAGGGCAGGTCACCAAAGGCAGGGCTTCTTCGTTTCTGCGGCCCCCCCAGGACCTCTGCCACTCCCCAGGACCTCTGCCACATGTGACTGTGTCTGTCTTCTGCTGATTCGCTACTAAAAGCTTTGCAATGTATTTCCCCTTTCTGGGATCTCGCCCTAAAATAAGAGTCGGCTCCAGGACGTGCACTCTGGCCACCACTGCCCTGAAAGACTCTCTTCAGGGCGGATGAACAGCTCGCCTTTGCCTCTTCCCTCTGGTTCTCTCCCCCCTTTCTTTCCTTTTCCAATCAAACGTTTCCCACATTCTTATTTTTGTTTACTTACAGAGTGTGATTTGTGGCATCTATTTGGTTGTGAATAGCCCTCCCCCTGACAGGGTGCCTTTCTTCTGAGCTGCTTTTCTGGGGGTGATTTAGTTGCCTTGAAAGGATTAAGGTTTCTTTGTGTACACTAAAATCAACATAGGCTTTTTCTAAGCTTTGCTTGGGAAACCATACACAAATAAGCATTTTAGTTGATGGCAGATTATTCCTTTGCCCCTTATTTCCATCAAAATGGCCTTTCTTTTCTCCTCCAGAGTTTCCCCTTAATGCCTTATGCTAATTCCTGTTGGTAACATGAATGACAAGAGACGGAATCAGTGCGAATCCAGGTGGTGCAAAGTAGACTCACTGGTATCCAGCACCCCCTTCCTCCCTGGGGAGAAAGAGATTAAGGGGGGTGCGGAGGGGGAAAGCATCGGGGACAGTTTTGTTAAGGGGATTAGTATTCAGACTGCTAAATATCAGGAAAACAACTTCAAAAAGGGATTCATTGTGTAGTGATAATGTCAATAATTGCTTCAGGACAGGTGCACAGTCTTGTTATAGGCTTGTGGTTTTGGGTCTGTTTTTACTCCGGGTAGTGGCAGTGTTTACAGGATGGATGGCTGACAAGGCCTTCAAGGAACTGTCAGCTTCATGCACATCAAGTTCAAGTTTTCCTGTAAGGCGGCCTGCGTGCCTGAAAGTCAGGTCTCCTGTCTTTGTCCAGTAACTTTAGCCAAGAGCGATAAAAAGCATCGTAAGAAAGGGCAAATTTACACCAGGTAACAAACACAACTGGGGAAATCTTCAAAGCCCCAGCTTATGGGACAATCTAACCGGAGTACAGGGGAGCTGACGTGTATCCCTCCACCTCCAGATGTTTAAAGTTACACTTCACCTCTCCCTCTCAAGAGGCTGGCAGTATTCTGGCCTCAGAGGAGCGTGGCTTTAAGCTGCTGGTAAGATTATGCTGCTGAGCCTGGTGGCAGGCAGATTTGGTCCATAAAATTTCACTGTGGGAGGGCAGTGCTAATCTCACAAGCTGATTGTGGTGGGGGTTGGGGGGGTGCAGCCTTGATGTTGGGCTGCACAGTGTGGAGATGACGCTCAGGCAGAGGCAACAGGGGCCATGACTCGAGGCCCATCAGTCAGCTCGTGAGCTTGAATAAGTCATTTACCATCTTTAGGTCAAGATTTTCAATCATAACAAAACTTATTCCTGGGTCAACATCTCTGGTGGGGATAAAACAATTAATTGGGAAGGGGCAGGAGTTGAAACAGAGTGGGTACAGTGAGTATATTTTGTATCACTTTTGTTCATTGATTTTATTTTGACTTTCCCTGTGTTGTAGACGCCATCCAGTTTAATAGAGATTTTTGTGTTTAGGTGTTCCGAATGGTCGCTTTCTTCTGACACCTTTTATTCCCTGCTTTAAAACAAGTTAATCAAACAGCACGTGCTTGCATGTACACACAACTTGCCCAGTGAGGCCTGAGCATTTCGAAAGGGGTGTGGCATTGCGCAGGGCTTAGCATTGTAGACACAAAAAACAGTTTAACTTTAATCAAGGTCATGGTTGCCGTATTTAATCTTTATGTGTTTAAATGTTTACAGGATGTTCATGTGAATTTTATGAATCCTTCTGTCTTTGTGACTCAACCATCTGCCAAAGAAAAAATTAATTTTCCCATTGAGACAGAGGCACAGAGACAGACTAACTTAGTGTCCCTGTTTAGTTGATTGAAATGCTGTAGGAGCAACAGGACCTGTACCCCAAAATCTGGGGTATTTATTCTACAAAGGAACTTTCAGTCTATTCAGCATGGCCAGTATTTATTATCCTCTCTTGCCTACTGTAGATCCTTGGTGGTGTCACCAGTTTGGTCTGTAGACAAAAGTGCAGAAAATGAGTTCTTCTTTGCTGCACACAATTATCCTGCCAACATAATGAATCTTTCCTAAAACTCTTGGATTGCTCCAGAGCAGAGCTGCTTGAGGAGGAAAGAAAAGAAGGGAAGCCTGTCTGGGAGGAAAGAGAACACTAGTAGGGTGTCAGGAGTTCTGCGCAGCCCTCAGTTTCTAGGATGCCAGTCCTGGCGTGTGGCCATGGTCTAGGTTAGGGGAAGAGAAAAATCCCTGAATCGCTGCCTCCTTGGTTCAGAGCCCTCCTTCCCAGGATTTAGCCTGTAACCAAGATAAGTCATAGATAGACGATGACAAGTCAAGTCATGGATAGACGGTGAGAAGGGCACCATGGTGTATTTTACCCCGTGACTTTCTCACCCCTTCTTCTTCCTTCAACTTTGTCTCAAGTTGAAGAACTGGGTCCTCCTGGGGAAAAGCCCCCAGAGTTAGCCATCAGGGAGCTGTGCCCAGCTAAATGGGCATTTCTGAATGACTTGAGGGCGTGGGTTTCCTGCAGCAGGGAATGAGGCACCTCATTCTGCTTCTTTCTACTGTGAGCACCCAGTGTCTCCTGAAATGTGAACAGCAGCAGAGCAGCTGCTCACCCTCGTAGGCAGGACCCCACCTCACCTCCATCAGCCTGGGAGATTCTAGTGGACACTCACCAAGAAGAGCACCAGATGCAGCACTCTGGCCAGCTGGAGCCCTCTCTGACCAGGACTGCTTTTCCTCTCCCGGTCTCTACCAGGCCTGTTAGTGGAACACACCCGGCCTCTTCTTGGGGTTGGTTTTGCACTGAGAATTTCCAGGGGAACACAGATGAGGTTGGAGCCTTTAGGTTAGTGGAGCCCTTGGATATTTTTGGCGGTACGGTTCTATCAGCATTATAGAAAGAAGACCTAGCTTAAAAATTGCCTGAAATCTGAGGAGATGAGGTAAGAAACAAGTTACCCAGAGACACTGCTGGCTTAGTAACCAGGTACCTAATTCTTCAATGGCAACCATATGACCTCATTCTTTAGGTTTAGACACAAGTGATTTCCTTGGTTTGGTGACAGAAAGGTAAAAGTCATATTGCCATCAAGGTCACCATTGACTTTTAAGAAAAACCCATTCCCGCTGAGCGTGGTCGCTCACACGTGTAATCCCACAACTTTTGGGAGGCTGAGGCAGGAGGATTGCTTGAGCTCAGGAGTTCAAAACCAGCCTGGGCAATATAGCAGGACCTCATCTCTACTAAAATTCCAAAAATATAGCTAGGGTTGGTAGCGTGTATTTGTAGTCTCAGCTACTTGTGAGGGTGAGGTGAGAGGATCACTTGAGCCCAGGAGGTCAAGGCTGCAGTGAGCCCTGATTGTGCCACTATAGCCGGGGTGACAGTGTGAGACACCATTTCCAAAAAAAAGAAAGAAAGGAAAGAAAGCCCTTTCCATGAAATAATTCTGAGCATGAAAATAATGCAGTTGACCGTGGAATAGCTTTCTTAAGAAAAAAATTTGGTTTAGAGTTTAAAA